GTGCACAAATGGAGTATTCACCTGCGAATCTAGTTAAATAAAATGGCTTTTTCTTATGTGGACACAATTAACACTTTAGACAAAGTTAAACAGAAGTTTGCACAAATAAAGATAAACGTTTTGTAATAGATTTGAAGTACTTTCCATTTTGTAGTTACATATGTTATTTATCTAGCCTTTTTTCTGCTTCTCACCAGCTATATTGATTAGATACTGTTGATATCACATTAATGTTTTCCATACAGGGGTGTGTGGATGGGGGTGGTGTTATGTCATTAACGAATAGCATAAATAGCATTTCTACAGTACTGTCAGCATGTTTAATACTTATAACTACAGTTAGCAAAACAACCTGTGATTTAGAAGACTTACTTTTTAGGCTAATAGAGCAAACTTTGTTATCTGATGTAACAAGCTAATTTTGATGCCAAAAACTCAGCCTTCATCATTTTCACCCTCACTGAACAATATTCTTTATGTGATATTTAGATATCCCTAAAAGAGGACACTGAAATTGACTTCCTAGAAATTCCTCAGAGAGGAAGTGGTTAGCACTCAGATATATGAGGGAAGCTACCCTAAACAAGTCAATTCTATAACTAAATTCAATAATTAAATGATTTTACTGGAGAATTCAATGGGAGAAAGTTTTAGGTGGCACCTCTCTACAAACACGCGGTCAGATACAGAAACAATCACACAACAGAATGTCAACGCCCTAAACTGTGATAGAGTCAATTAAGCACTGCAAAATAAAAACAGTGGTTCACTTAGAACTGAAGAAACAAATATCTTGCTTAACAAAATAATTCAAGTTTTATACAACTTCTTGTTCTATGCAGGAATGAAAATAAGAGCTTTCAAATTCTTAATTTAAAAGAAAAAAACATTCAAGTACCATGAAAATCCAGCAATACAGTGGTTAGAACATAGGAATAAAAACTTAGAATGGATGCCTCAAAAATCAGTCCATTAGATTGAGTCTCCCTAGCCTTCAGGCTTAACCTATTATGAGAAAAGTGGCTAAGCCAATCTGTTATGTAGATGTAAGTCCTGCTCTCTCTTCCAGAGCTCCATCCCCCATCTGATAAATATTCCCCATCAAAATAAAAAGAACAATCAAATTTCTATCAAACACTGGATTTGTGTGTGTGTGTGTTCACACACAAGGAAAGTTCAGGAACTCTATTCTAAATACATCATTTACATTTCATTCATTTTTTGTCTCTATTTTCCCTCCAAACTGGTCACAGTTCCAAATAACAGAAGTATATTTGCAGAGGCATGCTTGTCATCTGTGAGTTCTTTACAAACATGAAGCTTCCCGAAATTGTCTAAAATTTTATAATGTTCTCACATTATCCCATATTTTTTTGTGCATTCTACATTAAAAAAAAGAAAACAACCTGCTATAGCCTCCTTTGAAGTGCATCAGTTACTATAGAAACACTCGTATATGCAAAATCTAAGTTGAATCCACTAGCATAGAATAAATATATACATACACCATTTGATTCAATAGCTTGAAATGCATATTTTGGTGGAATAGTGAAATGTAAGAATTCATGTGTTGGCTAATATCCATGCCTCAGCTAGGATCAATATTGGGTACAAATAGTCAAATGCTAAAGGATGACACTAAAGAAACATATCAATGTTTTGCTTAATCCCATCTAACAATACCACTGAATTGTGTATTTTATTGCACTGCTCTTGAAGTGAGAAGACTTAAATGTAAAGATTCATTACATTGCATAACTCCAGGTGATTTATCATTTGAGTAATTTGTATTAATTTAAAACTACCAGATCAATGGAAGCTTAATAAATTGTCTTGTGATGTTAAAAAGGGATGTATTGGGTCTATGTTATCAACATTAATATGTTTAAATTTTCTTTCAGAGCTTTATATAAATAAAAAGCAAGGCCAGGCTGAGAGTTTGCAATTAATTTTTCACCAACTCCTTCATGAGTTAATATGTTAGATTTACTTCTTTATTTTTTTTTTTTTTAGGTAAATATATAGACATAAGCAAACATAATGCATGTTTGCATGGATACGCATTCACGTGGATATGCATGCACACACATTTAGGAAGGAATTCTCACCTGTTTGTAAATTACCCCTTGTCTTTCAGAATTATAAAAACTCACAATTAATTGGCTTCTATAAGATCCCACAGCTGGTTCAAATTGGAATCGCACTCAGTGGCATCTTAGCTAGTTCTCCTTTAGCAAGCAATTACTACAATGATTAGAAACATACACTGAAGACAAAGAAAAAAAAAAGGCTCTTAAGAGCTTGCTCCAGCCTTCAATAGTCATGAGGGTTTTTACAGGTGACAGCCTTTCAAAATCAAGGATGACAGCTGACCTTCCAGCCAAGAACTGTGCCAAAGAGGCTTTGATATCATTTCTGTGTGTACTACCAGCCCCCCGCACTCCCCAAAACTGATGCACTCCTGTTTCACACTTCCCAACAACAGAATATAAATGGCCAACCTCACCCTCTAGTGAGTACTGTTTCATCACTCAAACCAGCCACGCTGAAATTTTCTAAACATATTCCATTGTTTGTTTCACTTAGGAACTTCTCAAAGTGAGATTATTAATTACTATTATTTGTGCTAACTCAAAGAAAAATATCCCATTGACTTCAAAGAGCACTGAATCAGGCCCAAAGGACTTATATGGGATTTAGTTTATTCCTGAACTCTTAGTGACCCTCTGCACACTGATGATTTAACCTACCTTGAAATTATGAATGAAATAGGCCAAGGTTATACTTTTAATGCCTTTTCAAGTTGAAAATACAATGAAAAATTTCATCTGTGCTTTGATCAATCATTTGGACATTTTCTGAAATCATTTCTGGGTCTATATTATGCCCTCTATTTTATTATTATTATTATTTTTACATCAGTTTGTTATTTCTGAAGCAGTAGAGACAACTGTGAATATTATATGCTGATTAAAGAAGATGCATTCATTGTCATGCAAATGACAATGACTTTAAATTTTAAGATTAGAGAAACTGATAAAAATAGAAGGGCATAATTCAGGAAACAATTATCCACCTTAGATGAGGGAGTTCTACAGATTTAATTAAAAAATACAGAATGTATTACTGTCAATTAGAGCACACCCTGTGCAATTCATTAAGGCCCTCTCCCTTGTGCAGGTGACAAACACTTCATTATGCATGGGAGAAATGAGGCAGAACACAAAGGGACTAATGTCAAATTAAAATGGGACTGACCTGTTCATAGCACAAAATTATATTATTCAAAAATTAAGAAATATGGACAAAAGGGATGAAACAAAGAAAAAAATGCATAAGGAGAGGTCTAATTTGTTTATGGAGCAGTTAGGATGGAGATTTAGTATGGTAATTAAGCTATTATTCAATGACAAAAAGAAAAAAAGAAGCAATTACTAAAGAAAGACCACGGACACTTGGCCTAAAAAGATACATAACTTGGTTAGAAAGAATGTAGAATAAACAGCTAGAGAACTCTTTTCTTATGCTGTTGTATTCCAAATCAAAAGAAACAAGTTAGTCCTGTCATTACTTCATCTGTCACTTTACTGATCTTCTCCATATTCTTTTCTTGTTGGCCTAAAGTACCTTTCAGAGCTCCTGCATGTGCCGGTAGAGATGCCTTCACATAGTTTGGAAGTACTTCAATATAAATGGAAAAAAGGATAAAGATGAATGATGTAGGTCCTAAAAGGCACTAAAAAGCATTTGTGCCTTTATTTCTGAATTTCTGAATTCCTTTATTCTTGGACAGAAACTAAATTTGCAATGGAGTCTTGTCTCAGTATGCATCTTCAGTATATCTTAGCTAAATTCCACAAAAGCAACCAATTCCAATTAAAAGTATTTTATTAATATTAAGATGAGATTTTCCACTCCAACACGTTTCCAAAGTAACATTTCCAAAGCTACCCTAGGTCAATAAACAGCATGCATGCGTGTGTGTGAGTACAGCACTGAGGTAATAATTTGTAAAACAGAAGCAATTGTCACACAAGAAAACAAGATCCGGTGCAGCAAACTCCTGATCTCAAGCCCTTACATTTTAAGCCTACCTTTTAAGTTATAACTATTGCTGTCTATTACGGAATTTAAAATCAATGCTAATTGCTTATAGTCACTTACTTATTTTGACTTAAAGCTGTAAGAGATTACTTTGGCACTTTTTTTTTGTAATTCACTTCTTCTTTCCAAAGCTATTTTAAGCTTTTTGGTACCCTGCTTGGACAACTGCTGATAGAAAAATATCTGCTATATACAGAGTTACACGCAATCTGCCTAATTTTAGTTACAAACTCCAATACACAGCTATGCAGGCAAAGGAAGAAGGGAAAAGAAAATAGTAAAAACTTGTTTGCTATGAGCAGACATATTAGCTAAATTCCAATTAAAGAGTCAATTTAATTATACAGGGAATTGAACACGAGCGTCTAACTGCTATGATACCACAAAGGAGCTCCTTCTCTTTCTATATACTCCAAAATATCAGATAAAAATCAAAAGAAATCAAGGGACAGTAACGCACTTACATGTACTCAAATTCAAGCATAACGAAACTACATAAGTGGTGTCAAAGCTGATCTGTTTCACTGTAATGCTAGTTCAGATACTAGCCCTCTGCACTATGCAAGAAAGCTTCTTAGGGAGTCCTATAGTCAGGAACAATTAACTGAGTTGGAACAGGGGAGGGAAAGTTGTTCAACTTTCCTTAAGACTTCTCTCAAACCAAAAGCTATTATTATTTTTTTAAATATAAAAATGTTAACAACATGGAACAATTCTGCAGTATTGTACTGCATTCTCTTCCTGAATCCTCATCAACCTCCATATAACAATAGTCAGCTTTGGCAAAACCACTTCTAACTTTTCAAGCATAATTAAGGTCAGGTATAAACCTTTGCTATGTATACCACAACAGCTATTTTGATGATACCTCAGGGTCAAGATTCAACATCTCATACCTCTTTTCTTCAGTGCCAGAATTTCTGTAGCAACACAGAAGCCTTGTATCCCTCTCTTGTTAGAGGTATAATAGACAACAACTGGAAAGTCAATCTTCAGTTTACCTCAGTCATGTTCAGACTGCAAAAGGAAAAAGGGTCAGCATGAACTGGAAGCAAAGCAATGCTCTTGACTAACTTCAAGTCAGTTACTTAAACAGTAAAGGAAGCTCAGTATTTTCAAATGACCTTTGACCATTAATAAACAGATTGGCATCTAAAAGAAAGAAAAAAATCACTTTTCTTAGATGACTAGTATTAATGCATGCACTTAGATGTAGCTATACCTTTCCTCTATATACATTTTCCCTGCTCTGATAGAAGTATGACTCAAACTTACCGTAGGCATCATAGCAAGACTACAGCTGGTTCTTACATGTGTCCCAAGAAAAGCTGAGGTTAAGCTCCTTAAACAGACTATGTACATAAGCACTTAAAAATGAATATTTGAGCACACATTGCTTGAGACAGAGGGAAAACTGTATTATTGAATTAAAAACACATCTAATACCAAAAATATTACTCATTTCATTACAACAGAAGTTTCCCGTGCAGATTATTGTAGTGGATATCACATTTCAGCAAGACCAAACACATATAACAAAATATTCAGAAAAACAGTGATCAAATTCCTTGATCTGCCATATTCCAGTCAGTGTTCTGGGACAATATGCTTCACTCCTAAATACTGTCTCAGTAAACAGCAACACTCAGGCCAAGTTTAATAAGTACTTCAAAGTTCATCATAAACTGCTACCTAACTCTGGTGAAATTTGACAAAAATCCAAAGTGGCTTGGTTTAGCTCCCATCTTCAAGAACAACTACATCACTGAAAAGTTTCAAATTTAAATTTGCTCCATCACTTTTTAATCATTTATTCCAGGTGACTTTAAAAAAGAAAGATGTTTTCTTGCTCCAGCTAATTACTATAAATGATCAATTCCTTTATGTGTAAACTAACAACAATTCTTATAATCTTAGTTTCGTTTATATTTAATGAAATTTAAATGCATAGGGATTACAAAAAGGAAGCTTTTTAAAATACTAATTAGGGATGCAAAATTCATAAATGAATTTGCCACTTCTAACTAGGTGGAATTAGCTGCTCACTGCAGTTCAAGTAAAAACTAAAAGCAACCCTTCTTTCTCTTCAAAAGCATAATGACTTCAAGCAACTAAAAATTGCTCCTGAAAGCGTTGAACAGTTTGTGGAGGTCCCAAGTAGCCCATTCTACTTTGTTTAGTACAGAATAATATTTTACTTCTTTACCACAGAATAGTGTTTTATACCACCTCAACACTGAATGCTTAATTTCCAGATCTTGTTTTGAAGCTAGGTAATAAAGCCCTTGTAATAATTACCATCCTTGGGAATTTTATCCATCTCACTCCAAACACACACCCCTTCTCTACTGCAGACATGCATCTCTCATGAAATTTGTGGTAGGCTAGTTTGGAAGAATTTTGTGTGCAACTTGAGATTGTATCCCAACTTGAGAAGTATCCCAGTGCCCCCATACACAGTATTGAGGTAACTGGGAGCACACATCTAAGGACTGAAGTTATTGGGCATGAGGGGAAGGAGGAGGGTCACCGAAGTCCCTCATTTTTCTTTCACAAAAAGGACATATGCCATAGCACTGCCTTTTTGTGCTCGATTAGACAGACAAAATGCTCTCCTACAATCTGGTGAAACCTTTGTCACTAGCTGTCGCCTCCATCACCTTTCCCTCTCCCCTCTGTAGGCTCTTCTAACCCACCTACCATTGTATTTTTCTGACTCAATGACAGCTTTCGTTGACTTTCAAGCACCCATGTTTAGCCACCACAGCCCTCACAGGAAACACCACATCACTCAGCAGCCCATGGCTGCCTCCACAGTGCTGGCACAGCAAGCAGCAGGAGCAGCGCTGTCTTGGCCCCAGGATTTGCAGGGATCTCCTGAGGAGACATGCTGGCACAGGGCTGTGGTCCTGAGCACCAGCAGAGGGGCTGATGGTGGGGCACAAGTGGCCATTATGCAGGAAATGTCCCACTCCTCACACACACCAACCCCTGTCAGCAGAAGGCAGGCAGAAGAAGTGTGGTGGCTGCACGTTACTGAGCAGGCCACTCCACAGGCTTTCTCAGAGCCAGGCAGTGTTAGTACCCAGAGCTCAGAGCCAGCTCCTAGGATGCAGCAGGCCTATTGGTGCTCCTGTGGGGCTGAACTTGTTCCTACCCTCAGCTGTGTCACCATCACCCGCTGTTTCTGCCCAGCGTGTCAGCTCCTTTGAGACACTCACCCTATAGCTTCCTGTTACAGCTTTTGTACACTATCAGTCTTGGGCCCTGTACCATGCTCAGGGTCAGTGCCAAACAAGACCCCCCTGCTTCAGTTTTAACTCCTTTCTCAACACATGCACAATTCTGAAAAAATATGCAGGCACAAACTGGCTTAAGAGGAACTTGCCAACAACTTCTTTAAGTCCCTTGGTCAGACTACTGCCCAGGATCACTTTCCTTTTTGAAACCGTTTGTTCACAGATAGAAGATCCTGAGTGCCAGGGATGTTTGTAAATAACTTATTTGCATGTCAGAGTTACACATGCTATATTTTGTCCAATAAACTAGTATTAGTCATGTAAATATAGTGCTTTATGACATTTTATTCTGGAAATAGCATATATTTTATGGCTTGGTACTGACACAAGTAAACTTTATTATTGTGAGTATATTTCCCTTGGAAATATAGGCTTCTTCTAGGCTTTAGAAAAATCATTGTTTTGTTTGTGTGTTTTAAATTTGTATGTTTAACAATGCTGAAGTATGTGTTGTTTATATTGCACCAGGGGAGGTTTAGGTTGGAAATTAGGAACCTTTTCTTCTCAGAAAGAACAGTCAGGCATTGGAACAGGTTGCCCAGGGAAGTGGTGGAGTCACCATCCCTGGGGGTGTTCAAGGAAAGGTTGGACTTGGTGCTTAGGGACATGGTTTAGAGGGTGACAGTGGTAGTAGGGTGATGATTGGACCAGATGACCTTAAAGGGCTTTTCCAACCCTAATGATTCTATGCCTTTTTAACAGGGATTATGGAGGTACATGAACACAAGTCTTTTAAGGTCTGTTAAAGACATTAGCTGAAAATTAGCTGAAAAAAGGAGTGTGGAGTGAGGACAGAAAGCATGCAATGTAGGCTTCTTCAAACAGTTAAGGGTAAGGACATTCTTTGAAAGTGCAATTGGCTATCTTCCCATTTATGTCAAATGCAAATTGATCAGTTTGGATTAGGTACAATTATTCAATTCATTAGTGACTCCAACAACAAGGTGAGGGTGAGAAGAGCATAACATACTATAAAATAAAGTATACTTTTAGCTCATAATTCAGATCTGGAGTCTAAATGCCTAACAGCTGATGCCAAAAACACAATTACAGGTCTGAAGGAACATCAGTCAATACAGGTAAGAAAAAGAAGAGAGATGAAAAATACAAGACAATACAAAACAAGTGTTGCAAGTATATGAATAGGAATCTTGATCTAATGAAGGCAAGAAGAAAGCAAAGATACCATGATTTCCATTCAGGTATCTCACATACCCATAGAGAAGACCACCATATGCAATAAGGGTTTACCCATGGTGACTTACTTTCCAAGCAGCCAGCTGCAATGTGCTACAGTTCTTATGACAGCTGCCAAAGCACAGATTAATAATTTACACACAAAAATATTTTTTTAATCTAAGGAATCATTATATCAGTAATGTGCTTTTATTTTGCAAAGAATAGCATTGCATGGTAGCCATTTTGAACTATGATTTGAACATGAAATTATGGATATTGTTATATTAATTGTATAAAATGTTTTCTAGAAAAATATTACATGTATCTCTAGATACATTTTGGTTACCAGTGCTGTTTTTGATTCTGAAAAATAATACAGTTCATCTTGCAGAATGTATTTGACCAGGTTAAATAGTATTCAGAAAGTAAAACATGCCTCCCTTTCTCAAATGTAGAAAGATCTGTTTTACACTAAATTAAGAATGTTTAGACTTTACAAGGGATACAGAATAGGACCCTAAATAGGACCCCATATGCAAAAAAGCACATTGCATATTTATCAGGGAAAATTGTTTCTTCCCCGGATGAACACAGAATTTCTAAAGGGGATTAGGAGGTGTTATGGGAGAAATATTGTGAATACATTAATTGAACACAAACTTGCCCTTTACTTCTTGACACTTCATTTTGAAAACATCAGGTATGTGTTAATTAAGATAACAAGTGACCCATATTTTTCATCTTTTGCTTTAATGACTGATGAGAATTTATGAACTGTAATGCTATTACTTCACTGATGTAGAGAGTTAAATATACAAAAAAAAAGGACAATACTCCCCCAATTTCAATAGTAAAAAATTAGGAGTAACTTTTAAGAGACTAGTCCTCCATCTTGTTTCTCTTCTTGCTGAAGAGAAACTGTATAGGAATTCAAGTCCAATTCCACATTCTGGGAAGAAAGTGACAATAAACCAACTTCACAGAAGAATTACCAGTTCATTACATCATTTTGGAAAGACTCTGAACATGTAGGAACTAGTATGCCTAAAAACTGCTGTACTAAAATTGTGTATACATTTATCTGGCTAAAGTTTTCATTATGCAACGGAGATATGCCTCTCTTCTAACTCAAGTATTTAAAAAAGCCCACAACAGAAAATGACTACATGTTTATCACATAAAAAGAACATGCCAGCTATTTATGTACTTGACCTTTATTCCTTTGACACTGTTATTAGCTTATTTATCTCAGGAAAGAAGAAAGGGGAGTAAGTTATCCCTTTTTCAATCAACTATGTAGTTTAGCACTTTCTGTAAAAAAATTCAAAAACAAGGCTTACATCAAGAACAAGTATTCTTATTTTTTACATAATAGCTACTTCAAAACAACAATGCATCATACATGTTTTACTCACAGAGTGAAAGTACCAAGTATTTTTTCAGTGTTTGTATTGCTGCTTCAGATGTATGTCTAAATACTGAAGTTCTCTGAGTTTCGTAGAACTACATGGTTGTTGAGCTTTCTGAGCTTGAAGGCAG